TCCCGAGCAGCAACCGATCATGGAGCGTGTGGCCAAGCAATAACAGCCACAATCCTCAGTTTTTGGTGGATTCCGGGAAGGGAGAGAGATACAGGTAGCAGTGCTAAAACTGTAGAAAACTCTCCTTTTGCGTCCTCCCTTTGCTCGGGAGCTTCACTCCCTCTCGACGCCGATAGAAGCCGTACACCCTTCCCCCCTCCTCCCGCGTCCCAGGAAGCCGCCCCTACTCTTCCCCTCCCCGAGCCACCTGCTAGCCGTCAAATACATGATTACGCCGGTACGCGCAGGTTCTCGCCAAATTTCATTTTCAATAAATCCAGCCCTCATGATGATACGGGAAATGCTTGCAGAGATAATCAGTCGTAATCAGCTGCAGCACTGTAGCACAGTCGTAATCAGCTGCAGCAAGATGCTGATTGTGCCAGTTAAAATGCAACAACAAAATCAGAACTCATAATGTACGGCCAGCACAACAAAACCAAATTTTAAATTCATAAGTTGCACTGTTGCTGAATGATAACAATAGCCTTTTTCCAAACTGGCAATTACGTCCTGATATTAGACCCCTGAGTTTGCTGCAAAAACGCATGATCGCACCGGCAAGCCTGGTGCGTTCCAGCCTGGGTTTCACAAAGAGAGCATTTACCGAAAAAACGGCCGGACTTCATGTAAATCATTGGCGACGGGCTCGGGGCGGCCTTGTTCGATCATGCGTTTTTGCAGTGTTTCGTGCTGCAATAAGATCACTCGAAATTCCGCTAACTGGAAACCTCTTGTACATACTGGTCCTCGAATTTCGGGAAGTTAATTATCCACGCTATACTTGGACAGGGGACGTTTCCTCAAAATCCCAGATTCCCAGCTTTCTCAGTTCCCGAGTTATCCAAATTCCAGTCAGAAAATTTCACGGGGCTGTGCGCAGCCACCACGCATAACGGGGAGCTGAATTTGATAAATTCAAGTTGTAGATGAGTTGAGAACATTTCCTGAAAGTTTCAGCCTCCCAGATTCCCTGGTTCCGCAGTTAGCCATTTTCCCGCCAGAAACTTTCACGGGGCCGTACGTGGCAACCACGCATAACAGGAAGCTGAATTTGATAAATTTAAGTTGTAGATGAGTTGTGAACATTTCTTGAAAATTTTAGCCTCCCAGCTTTCTTGGTTCCCGAGCTAGCGATTTTCGCGCCAGGAAACCTCACGGGGCGGTACGCGGGAACCACGAACCCCCGGAGGCTAAATTTGAAATCTTTGAGTTCTAAGTGGACTAGAAACATAATCCGAAGATTTCAGCTTTCTAGCTTTTCTGGTTCTTGAGTTAGCGATTTTCCTGACAAAACTTTAAGGCGCTCGTACGCGGAGCCTAGACGTGCTTGAGGTTTGGTACCGCGGTGCTGAGGTGACACTTGGCCGGAGAACTCACTCGCAAAATTTTGGCGCCGGAGCTTGCTTGGGTGCCGAGTTGAAATACCCGGACAGAC